ATTAACATATATTTTATAAATTCCTACAAAAAGTAACACGGCTGGGTGGTGCGGTGGCCACTCACACCTGATGCCCAGATATTGCTGCTTTGAATCCCAGCCAACTATTTTTACACTATACATGTAAAAAAAATTACACTATACAGATATATGTTTTTAAAGCATGAAAACTTCTATATATTGCATGAATAGTTTGGTAAAACTGTGTATATTTAAAATTTATATAAGAATTTATGAAAATATATAGAAAACTAAAAAGTTTCTTAAAGCATGAACACTTTTATATACTTACATGATTTTTTAAAACTGTGAACATTTTTAAACTTATAAAAGCATTTACTAAAATATAGTATAAAAATAAACACTTTTTTAAAGCATGAATAATTTTGTATATTACATTAATATTTATTTAAAACTGAGACAAAAATTAAACTTATTTAAGCATTTATTGAGTATATTTTAATATGCAAATTATTACATGAACAGTTCTTTATTTATAATTTAATTATTTGGATAATGTTAAATTAATAAATGATTATTTTATAGTTTAATTTAATTTATTAATATGTATATTATTTATAACGCATGATTATAATTTACAAATATCCTATAAATTCGTAAAAGAACAGTGTAAAATGGTTGCATGGACTGTACTCCGCATAATATTCGAAGAACATATAGGTGCAGCATCCAGTTGTTACATGAATTTGTCCTCGCTCAGGCGGTTAGTCGTGCGCAGCTGTGAGCTACAGGGCAGTGGTTTGAATCCTTGCAGGTGTGATTTTTTCAATTATTTTTGAGACGCTGACAAGTGGACTCTTGCGGCCGTGGCAAGAGCTTTTTCGTGAGGAAAAATTTCCGAGGTTTTTTTTTGCGCAAAATAGCAGGCCATACGTCCTCTCTGCCTCGCTGACAGCAGGCCCATGCCACATTGGCGTGCCTAATCAACACCCTCTTGGTATAGAAACATAATTTGCACCGTATATGCACGCCAAAGCCAAGTTGTGGCACCGGTTTAATGTATGCCACAAGTTTTAGCACTAAACTGACTTTCGCGCCAAGTCGTGGCACCAATGGTGTAATTGACTCTTCTCAAAGGTCAAGTCTGTGTTGTCAAGCGGGGCCAGAACAAGCTGGGTCACGAATTAGCTGCGCTGGCAAGGAAGAATGGCGAGCATAAGAAGATGGCTGATGCTATTTTGTTTTCTTAGGAAAGGATGATGCACCCCAGGCCTCCGCATCTCGATGATGCATGCGGCCACTTTATTAATTATTCACAAAAGACCTTACAAGGAAGTACATCAGTAAGCCTGAACTGAAGCCACCCTCTAGGAAACACCAGTCGCAACTCCTATCCCCTTGATGTAGTGGTACCGGATGTCCGAGCCTAATATCAAACAGACATCGCACCAAATCCTAACATCTAGTGCCGGATGCCCCAACCCGGCCACATACCTGGACTAGGTCACACACCGGTCCGGCGCACTCCCCGAGTCTGCCGCCGCCGTCTTTCACCGATCCATCTCCAGAGCGGGTACAGACGCACTGACCTTGCCAGGCCATGTCGATGCCAGACAAATTATGCTCTCTGGGCATACCAACACCAACGCATAATCTGTATGCTTTGGTTCTAAAAAAATTGAAGGATAGCGTGTGGAACCAGATGGAAGGAAAAACTTCTCTCCGTTGGAGGACTGGACATTCTGATAAAGTCTTTGGCTCAGGCAATTCATGTTTACTCAATGTCCTGCTTTAAACTTCCAAGGGGGTCTAAGTCAACATATTAATTCGTTAATTTAGAAGTTTTGTTGTGGGAGCAAGAATGGAGAGTGCAAACTAGCTAGGTATCTTGGGGTGTTATGACAAAACCAAAAAAAAAGAGGAGGCCTGGGTTAAGAGATATTGAGATGTTTAACCTTGCATTATTGGCTTAGCAGGTTTGGCGTATTCTTCAGGATCCCAACCCCCTCAGTGGACATTTTCTTAAAGCTAGGTATTTTTTTTAATACTGATCCGTTTCAAGCGGAATTGCGTAATGCACCATCATACTGATCAATTCCGAGCGGAAATAGATAAACATATTCATGTCTTCTATATGCATTTGGATAAACCTCTTATTCTGGGCTTCGGTTCTATACAACAAACCCATTTTTTTCATTTCTTTTGTATGCACATATCCCATTTTAAATATATTTTCATATGCCATACAGCAATTACAGTTCTTGGCCAAACAATGTCTTCTAGATGCACGTAGATCTTCATGAAATAAAATACATGGGCCATGATGCAGGCGAAAAAAGAAACTACACATCGGTCATAATACCTTTTAGAAGCACCGGGTACATAATATAATCGGATATACAAGCATCCATACCACTGTAAGTGACCAATCTAGAGGGTGGACAGTAGCCCACCCTGGGATTTTTAAATACCTTTATATCATTAAAAAAATATTAATCCTATTCGCCACTCAATGCGCCGTAATGTCGACGTTTGCAGCGATCGAGCGATCTAGCTTGGCCGACCTGTTAAAGCGTTCAACCGATCCCAGTTGTGGGAACCTTCTAGGAGGTTCTTGACCCGATTTGGGAACCATCTAGAATGTTCCTAAACATTATTTATTTTTTGGTTGCTTATTTACATGTTTTTTTTCGTGTTAAGACGCATTGAGTGGCGAATAGGATTAAAAAATACAAAATGTCAAAAAATGTTCAGCACATTCGAAAATTGTTCATTTTTTCAAAAAACATACGAATTTCCAAAATTATTCTTGTTTTCAAAACAATGTTCACAATTCCAAAATGTGTTCAAAAATTTCAAGAAATGCTTGTATTTTCAAAAACAATTATTATTTCTAAAATTTTCCCACAATGATCAAAAAAAGTTCAAAAAACTAGATTTTTTTGAAATTATGAAAGTTGTCCGCTTTTTTAAAAAATGGATCGAAGTTTCAAATATTTTTCGCTTCTCTAAAAGAGTTCACATTTTCATACAATGTTTGCCTTTCAAAATATCACTTTCAAAGAACTTCTTTTCAAAAAATAGAGTAAAAAAAGAATGCTGCAGTTCCGAGCCGGTAGAGTACAAAACTGCTACAGTACCATGCTGATACAGTAAAAAAGATGCTCAGGGCATATGGCTAGATGGGCCGGCCTAGTTGGGAGCTGCCTCTGGGTTGGGGTCACTGTTTGCCCAGCAAGCGCCAAATAGGAGCTCCCACAAAACCCCTAAAACTTCCTAAAAAAAAAACCCTAAAAAAAGAACTGCGTAAAAATTGAAAATTAAATAAAATATATGAAAATTTTCATTTGTTGGCCCACCCTGGCTAGGGATGGCACCCGCAGGGTTTGGATACGGGTGGAGCCATCCCATACCCTTACCCATCCCCTCTGAGCTTACCCATCACCCTTACCCATACCCATCGATGGGTATAATTTTTTCCCATACCCGTTACCCGACAGGGTACATGGGTACCCATGGGTAAAATTATCCATGTTTGCAAAGCATCAGTTTGAACTACTCAGAGTCATAAAAACAACATATAATTATAATCTATAAACAACAATAGATTATAACAACAACAACAACACACTTTTAAACAACAACACATCATAAACAACATCATATTTAATAAACAACATCACTTTCTCGTAAACAACAACACATCAAAACATCATCACACAGTCATATATTTTGAGTTCACAAATTCATGATAAAGTGTAGAGATAATTTTTAGTTCATATAGATTTTATATGGGTACATGGGTATGTGGGTATGGGTTACATGATCCCATACCCGTACCCACTCTACCCGATGGGTTTAACATTTCCCTATTCATATACCCATGGATAATTTTTTGTCCCATACCCTTACCCTAATAGGGTTTTTACCCGCAGGGTACGTGGGTAATGGGTACCCATTGCCATCCCCCTGGCCAATTGGGCACGATCCTCCATTGAGGTCTATTGGCACGAAAAATAGCATCTCATTATTTCTTTACTTCTAAATGACCCAGCTGGTGATAATTGTGTGTCACTCGTCATATCAAGCCATCCAATCTGTATTTAACGAATGCGAGGAAAATTGTGTTATAGCAAAAACACCTTTCCACTCTGCTCCATATCTGTATATCTACTAATATGTACTAATCTCTTCTCTATCTCTAGTTAATATTTAAATAAGAATAATTAGCGTTCTTTTTCCTGTCAGGCAAAACTTTTCGTCAACCGGCCTCCCCTCCCGTCACATCCCTTCATAGTTTTTTTATTCGGTCATTTTTTTCCATCACGTCATATTTGACCGCACCTTCCCAGTACGCCGATCAATCACATTAATTAAGGTGGAACTGAGTCGGCACATACCTAGAAACTCCTTAGCCATAATGACCAGACCAATCCCTCCCCACATCATCAAAACAAATAGGAGGGATAAACATTGCGTGACCCTAACATATTTTTGGTGATATTTTCACAATAAGACACATGTTTTTGGTGATATATACCAAAACTAGGATGAATATCTAGTTTGTGTACATGCATCAGCCTACTTTTTATCCGTTGCAACAAACAGTCACTGTGCTATTAGAAGAAGAAAATTAAAATAAATCTTTTTTGACAACAGAAAAAGGATGTTTGATCCATCCTAATAGGCTTTAGAGACAATCAGTCAATTAGCCATAACAACCAACAATTGTTTTTTTTATATAGAGAGTGAAGTACTGATTAGTGTTCCAGCACAAAAAGAACCACTAAATAATGTTATTGTTAGTTCATCAGGATGAACCACCCTGTTGTCAGAAATCGACACTAAACAAGAAGAAGAATAAGCACTCTCTAAAGACAGTTTAGAATGAATGCAAACCCTGGGAAAAAATTCACTGTAGAGGCTTGGCAAGAGCCTTATCGCCGCCATGATTTGTGTGATCCTACTCGTGCGTCGGACATCCAGACAGTGTTGAAATATTCTCTTTGTGTCTGATGTATCATGTATGTATATTGAAGTCATTGCCGAGAGCATTTCAAGTAGACAATTACCCTGACGCCGGCAAAAGCAGCTGCGCCGGCCACTCTACCTAGCCGGAGGGACGAGCAGCCTCTCCTTGTTATCAAAGTATCTAAAGATGACGTCGGTGTGGACTCTGCGCCGGTCTCTGGCCCATCGTCCATGTGCAGCCTCAGAACCTGAAACAGCAAAACGAAATGCCAAAAAAGACTGAACCTCAAAGTAAATTACTGAACCTAAGTTGCAATAACAAGAAGAAGAACGAAGAAACTAAAACTGATCGGTTGCGCTTTGGTTGCGGCATAACTAGGGAGGATGCAGACGACACGCGAAGCAATCAAGTTGCTGACCTAGAAAAAGAAGAGAAAAACTGACCTTCCATCCAGCTGATCTGGCATGCTCAATCGCTGCAACGAGATCACCATCGGTAGCCAGAAGAACTCTGTCACCTTCATCATCATCATACTGTTTGAAACAATTGTAAGTGCGATGTGAAAAGATCAAAAGATACAGAGGGCCAAAAGTCCTACTTTTAAAAAATCCCATCTACAAGCTTTTGCTTGCCCTAATTGCTCACTTGGAGAAAAAGGAACACAGTACTGCATAAGCAAAGCTCAATGTTAAAGCCCAACCTCTTACCAGAAGATTTACATTTGCCTTCTTGTTTTCTGTTCCTAATCTGTATGCAATAGCAGACACAAGCTCATCTAAGCTTTCTGAAACTGCAGAAAGAAGGAGTGTTATCAGACAGACATTAAGGCAGACAAACACAAATTCATACTACACTACTACTTTAGTAAACCACAATGAGGAAAATAAGATAAGAAATGACCCAACCGCAACTGAATCTGTGCATTCGCCCTTTTCTGTCTTCAATTTTGAAAGAGAATGCATTGCCAACATGAGGGGGTGTTTGCTTCCCTTCAGCACTATCTGAGGCTGCCGTACGAGATTCGTCACTGCACTATATAACAAAAGACTGTTCAAGCCATCTTCAGGAATGTAAGAGTAAGTGCAAGTCGAAGAAGAACAAACCTATGCCAGTCATTCTCCTCTGAAGCATGCAAGGCAAGTGCTGAATCCCAGAACTTCTGAACCATGGTATTTGCCACATCGTTTGGTCCAGAGGCTCCCTCGACCTAATGAGAACACAAAAAAAGTTAGGATTATATGGTGATGAGAAATAAAGATAACGTATTTGTACGGTGTTTGCCAAAAAAACGTATTGTATGGTATAGTTTTATGAAAACAATCATAGCTAACAGAATATTTTATTCAACTAATGTAAAATATCGCAACTGAGTCAATTTGATGCAACAAAAATAGAAATCATATGCCAGGGACTTCCCTTCAGAATGAAAGCTTCACCTTCCAAGAAAGTACTGTTCTTTTTTCTTTAATCTGAAGAAATAATGAAATGTCCAGCAACATCCCTTGGTAGTGAAAACATAATAATTCATTCTTACCATGGAGATGGCTGTGTGGGTTAACTGTAGAGTGTCCAAACAGGCGACAATCTGCCCTCCTGTTCAAAGATTTAACTTAGATACGTACATAGAAAGGAACTTTTCTTTGATGTTAGAATTCAGTACTTACTTTTGTCTGCAACAAGAATATGATGATATTTTCTATCTTGCATCGATTGTAGAACCTCGAGGATTGATGTGTCCAGTGTAGCACAGCCAGGACTTGCCGTCATGACCTTCGGAGAGATAACAACATATTTGGTTAACTAGTGAAAAAAAAGGACCCAAACCCTGATCACTTGAAATGTGAATGCATGCTCCAGTTTTTTACCATACCTTTTCTATGAGTGTCGCCTCTGGGGACAGACTTTGTGCCACTACTCGCAAAACCAAATCCTTGGAACTGAAGAATATCAGTGGTATCACTTAAATAAATAATGGAGGTGGGAAAATTCAAAATATACGCAACTTTTCAGAGAACATACGTGATAATTCCTTGTAAGATGTTCCCTGTCATGACAACCACCGAGTTAACTCGGTGCTCTCTCATCTTTTTGGCAGCTACAGTTACTAGATCTGAAGGAGATACCGCTGGAACACTACAAAGGATAAGTGAGGAGAATATTCAGTCGTAACAAAAAAAAAACATTGTACATTTTCCTGGCAGTTGGAATTCTGACCTGCTGTTTTGAGTAATGATAGTTGACAAGGAAGGCTTGAACATCTGGTCTCGAAGATTTTCTATGAATGCGTGCAAACCTGAAGTAAGGACCGAAAATGTAACATCAGCTAGTTACTCAAAGAGGCATGAGCGGAATGCATCATGGGTGGTCTTCAGAATCTGAAAAAAGCTACCTGCAAATTCATTTCCCCACTGCTGTTCGACCCCTTCCATAGCTGCTGCTATAGCACTGCCTTGTTCGGCTGCCTTCTCCATTCTTGAAATTGCATCGCAGAGGAACTTGGTAATGTCCAACATGGCAATGACCTCACCATTTTGTACTACAGGAAGATGCCTAAATTTGCCTGTATACAAAAGCTGTATGACTAAATGGCGACCATGGAGACAAGATACAATACATCCATTAGAATGACAAAAGGATGTCAACGTAAAAATGTGCAGGGAATTTCATGAGAGAACATATTTCTGAACTTTGAATTACACTATTGGTCTTGCAGTTCTTGTCTTTGGCTATTAGCCAAGAGGTAATACAATTACTCATCATGATCGACACTCGGTTCAAATCGACCCACATTATATGGTGGAGTGTTGACATATTGTAGCTTTGCGGTTGCCCGCAGAATACGATTCTATGATTATGGGAGTAACATTGACCCATCAGGCTGTCCACTTAATGTGTACATGCTAACATGCTCTGGTTCTCCCTCATCATGCATAGGATGACACTGAGCCGGCACTATTAGAAATGGCCAATCGATCACTGGACAAAACTAATTTAACAAATGACCTGTAATCTGAAGAAAAATAACAAGCAGACCTTGGACCATCTTCTGGAGTGCCTCGGTGGCCGACGAGTTGGATGTGACATAAATTGGATTCCGCGTCATCACCCTAGCCATATTTGTTTCGTTGGGCCTGAGACCCTCGGCTATCACCCGGCCTGATATGTCCTACAGAAAAACACACAGATCGTCCATAGAACACACAATTCGTCAATTGAAAACCTGATGCTCATCACTAATCCCATACAATTTTCTCGAGAAAACACCAAAATTAATCCTATTACTCCCACCGATCCATACTAATTGTCGCTGATTTAGTACAACTTCCCTGTTTGTCAAAAATATTAAGGCATGACTGTCTCTTTTTCCCTGAAAATAGGAACACTTTAATCTGTGCTAGGAGTACAGAATTGCGGACTATGTTTTCAACGTTTGCAGATCATCTCAGCAGAAAGGTCGGAATTGACATTTCAGGCTCATCCAGCAGAACGAATCGCATTGTTACTTTTTTTCCCTGAAGTTTAAAGTCGATATTCTGTCTTTTTCAGTATATACTGTCAGTTTTTCAACGACTCGGACTCCTCCTGATGAGTTTCTCACTTACCTCGGCCGTGACGATGCCGGAGAGCACCCCTTTGTCGTCGGTGAGCAGCGCGGCGTCGGCGCGCCTGGCGGCCATCCTCATGCACGCCTCGGACACCGCGGTGGCCTCCGGGAGCGTCAGGGCCTTGGTCAGCCGGAGCTGCTTCACCGTCCTCTCCTCCAACGACGACCTACGCACCATTCATACACACCGCATACATAAATCGTCCGAATCAAAAGCAAGCGGTAGGGAACGAACAGACGATCGGCGGAGAGCGTACGTTGGCGGCGCCTGGGCGGGCGGGGCGGGCGACTTTGGCTTGGAGGAGGCGGTGGCGGGCTTCCCATTGGTCGCGCCGGCCTTCTCGTTAGCGGCGGCGGGGGCGGGGGGCTTGCTGCGGAGGAAGGCGGCCTGGTGGCGGCGAGGCTGCGGCGCGGCCATCGGCATCCGGCGGCGGCGGCGGCGATCGCGGTGCGGGACTGGTTTGAAATGGAGTTGAAGGCAAGCGAGACAGAGTCAGAGGAGAACAGAGCACGACTGGGAAAACAGAGTCGTGGCACGCCGTTGGTACAGTACTATTCACACCCAAAAAGGGAACGTTCGGGCACAGGTTTTAGCAGGAGAATTCTCTCCTTGCTACTCCCTCGATGAGTTGAACCGGACAAGTAATCCCCTAGCCAGGTTCAATCTCACCTAGGCCTGTTTTCCTCTCGTCCCTGGCGGCTGGAACCCTAGCCGCCGCCAGGGGAGGCCAATCTTCCAACGCCGCTCTCCGGCGGCGACCTCGGTCGTCGGTGGTGAGGGGGGTCGCCGGATCCACGCGTGTGGATCGCTTTTACTCTCTCGTAGTCTAGGTTTTTAAGTTGTTCATCGTCTTTGCTTCGGCCGCGACGATAACAATGCTGAATAAAGATTCTTCGGATCCTTCCCTGACGAGGCTTTCGGTCCTATGGTTGGGGATGGATTTGGAAACCAGTCTGTTCAAGCAAGGATGGCGTGGCGGTGGCGGCATCCTCGTGGTGGACCTGTGTCCTCGGGCTCCGCCGTTGCGACGGTGTTTGCTCCAGCGTCGGCGCGGAGCTTGGAAGGTAGTCCAGGAGCGGATGCAGATTGTGGTCTGCATCGACGACATCTGGAAGACGGAGCATGTGCTAGGCTCGTGGTTGGTGGATGGCAGATATAGTTTCCTCCTTCGGCGTTTTAGTCGTGGTGGGTTGCTAGATCTGGAGTTCGATGTCGTGTTCGGGGTGTTGTCCCGGTCTGATTCGTTCAACGGTAAGAGTTTCACTTTTGGTGAGCCACCTTGGAGGTCCGTAAAGCTGCATATCAGCGATGGAGCCGCGTCGAGCTCGGGTAAGGAGGTGATTCGTCATTCTTTTCTTCGGTGGCTGCTGTGGTGGTGCCGGAGGCAGGTGACGGGCGTTGGTGTCAAGTTCAGAGATGTTCTGTTATCTTTTCAGTTTTGTCATGTCGGTATTTACGTGACTTGTACTTTGTTCCTTATGATATGAATGAGACACATATTACCATGCAAAAAAAACTCCCTCGATCTCAAAGTATTTGAAATTCTAAGAGCAACTATAACGGGACGACCCATTTCGTCCGTTCATGTTTGTTTGGGTCGCCGCACACCGGCCCAACGCGTCGACCCTTCCAAAAATCGTCCGCTGGGCGTTCCTACGGACCCGTTTTCGGTCTAAAATTGCGCCTGAAATGCGTCGGCACGCACGCGGAGCGAACGCGCCGCACGTCTCCTCGATGTCCGAGCGGTTCCACTTGGCAGCCACCCAATTACCGTCCGTCGTCTAATTTATGACGACCACCAACACCGGAGCTACAACAAGGCCGGTTGGGCCGTGGCCTGCCCAATGCTAAAGCTAAAAAATAAATTTATACTACTTCGACACAGAGCAGTACTACATCAAAGCAGCGGCCCATTGAAACTCATTCATCGTCGCACGCACGTTGCTACTCCAATAAACAACGAAATCACTAATTAAGGAGTACTTCTTGCGGAGATCACTCCAACTTTCCCAGATTATAACAAGTGGTGCGCTGCATGTGCGCCACTTGTCGCAACCTGAGAGTTTTCTCTTTTTTCGTAGATCCTTTTATTCAAAATGTTTTATCTCTTAAACCGTGCGTCTAAATCTTGAACCGTTTTCGCCATTGGATTCCTCGCGTCGAGATCTTCAAAACTAGATCCCATGTTGATAGGTTTTGACGAACTTTTTTTTATGAAAAAAACCGACGAAAAAACCGAACCGGAAACACGGGTTTTTTCCCCTTTCCGGAAGAGGCACGCCCGTGCCTCTGACAAAAGCACAACCGTGCCTCTGGCGGAAGCGAAACCGTGCTTCTCACGAAAGAAAAAAAAACAGAAAACACATTTTTTTTCCTTTTCGGAAAGAGGCACGCCCGTGCCTCTCGCGAAAGCACAACCGTGCCTCTGGCGGAAGCAAAACCGTGCCTCTCGCGAAAGAAAAAAAAACAGAAAACGCGTTTTTTTCCTTTCCCAAAGAGGCACGCCCGTGCCTGTGACGAAAACACGACCGTGCCTCT